AATCATTTTTGGTTCACCAAACACTTCTACATTTTCTACTCCAAAATTGAATTCATCTCCAGAAAATCTTAAAAAACCACAAGTTCCCAATTTTAAGAGAATTCCCGCTAAGATAACAGATCCAGCGGTGGGTGCTTCTACACAACCACAAGAAGAAGAAGAAGAAGAAGAAGAAGAAGAAGAAGAAGAAGAAGAAGAAGAGGGGCGGAGGCCATACCTGCGTCGCTTACCTTAGCGCCATAGCCGTGATCCACGCTTTCGACCTGCACAACAACAACAACAACAGGAACAACCACAACAACAACCAGAACCACAACCACTTGGGCGCCATAGCCGTGCTCCACGCTGTCGACCTGCACAACACCAACAAGAACAACAAAAGCAACAACCACAACAACAACCAGAACCACAACCACCTGGGCGCCATAGCCGTGCTCCACGCTGTCGACCTGCACAACACCAACAAGAACAACAAAAGCAACAACCACAACAACAACCAGAACCAGAACCACAAGAAGAAGAAGAAGAAAGACAAGAAGAAGAAGAAGAAGAAGAAAAAGAAGAAGAAGAAGAAGAAGAAGAAGAAGAAGAAGAAGAGGAGCGGAGGTCATACCTGCGTCACTTACCTGGGCGCCGTAGCCGTGATCCACGCTGTCGACCTGCACAACAACAAGGACAACAGAAACAACCACAACAACAACCAGAACCACAACCACCTGGGCGCCATAGCCGTGCTCCACGCTGTCGACCTGCACAACACCAACAAGAACAACAACAACAACAACCACAAGAAGAAGAAGAAAAAGGAGAAGAAGAAGAAGAAGAAGAAGAAGAAGAAGAAGAAGAAGAAGAGGGGCGGAGGCCATACCTGTGTCACTTACCTGGGCGCCATAGCCGTGATCCATGCAGTCGATCTGCACAACAACAACAACAACAGCAACAACCACAACAACAACCAGAACCACAACCACCTGGGGGCCATAGCTGTGCTCCACGCTGTTGACCTTCACAACACCAACAAGAACAACAACAGCAACAACCACAAGAAGAAGAAGAAGAAGAAGAAGAAGAAGAAGAAGAAGAGGGGCGGAGGCCTTACCTGTGTCACTTACCTTGGCACCACAGCCGTGATCCACGCTGTCGACCTGCACAACAACAACAACAACAGCAACAACCACAACAACAACCAGAACCACAAAGACCTAGGCGCCATAGCCGTGCTCCACGCTGTCGACCTGCACAACACCAACAAGAACAACAATAGCTACAAGAAGAAGAAGAAGAAGAAGAAGAAGAAGAAAAAGAAGAAGAAGAAGAAGAAGAAGAAGAAGAAGAAGGAAGAAGACGAAGAAGGAGAAGAGGAAAGAAGAAGAAGAAGAAGAAGAAGAAGAAGAAGAGGGGCGGAGGCCATACCTGCGTTACTTACCTGGGCGCCATAGCCGTCATCCATGCTGTCGACCTGCACAACAACAACAACAACAACAGCGACAACCACAACAACAACCAGAACCACAACCACCTGGGCGCCATAGCCGTGCTCCACGCTATCGACCTGCACAACACCAACAAGAACAGCAACAGCGACAACCACAAGAAGAAGAAGAAAAAGAAGAAGAAGAAGAAGAAGAAGAAGAAGAAGAGGGGCGGAGGCCATACCTGCGTCACTTACCTAGGCACCATAGCCGTGATCCACGGTGTCGACCTGCATAACAACAACAACAAAAGCAACAACCACAACAACAACCAGAACCACAACGACCAAGGCGCCATAGCCGCGACCTATGCGCCATAACCATGCTCCATGCTGTCGACCTGCACAGCACCAACAAGAACAACAACAGCAAGAAGAAGAAGAAGAAGAAGAAGAAGAAGAAGAAGAAGAAGAAGAAGAAGAAGAAGAAGAAGGAAGAAGAAGGAAGAAGAAGAAGATGGAGAACGAGAAGGAGAAGAAGTAGAAGAAGAAGAAAACGAAGGCAGAAGAAGAAGAAGAAGAAGAAGAAGAAGAAGAAGAAGAAGAGGGGGGGAAGCTATTCCTACGTCACTTACCTGGGCGCCATAGCCGTGATCGACGCGCTCGACCTGCACAACAACAACAACAGCAGCAACAAACACAACAACAACCAGAACCACAACCACCTGGGCGCCATAGCCGTGCTCCATGCTGTCGACCTACACAACACCAACAAGAACAACAACAGCAACAAGCACAACAACAACCACAACCAGAACCACAAAAAGAAGAAGAACAAGAAGAACAAGAAGAAGAAGAAGAAGAGGGGCGGAGGCCATACCTGCGTCACTTACCTGGGCGCCAACAACAACCACAACAACAACCAAGACAACAACCACGACCACAACCACCTGGGCGCCATAGCTGTGCTCCACGCTGTCGACTTGCACAACACCAACAAGAACAACAACAGCAACAAGCACAAGAAGAAGAAGAAGAAGAAGAAGCAGAAGAAGAAAGCTCTATGACCAGCAATTGCATATCCTTTTTATTTGTTTAGGCAAAATCATTTTTGGTTCACCAAACACTTTTGACCTGCACAGCAACCACCACAACAAGAACCAGGACCACAACCACCTGGGCGCCATAGCAGTGCTCCACGCTGTCGACGTGCACAACACCAACAAGAACAACAACAGCAACAACCTCAATAAGAAGAAGAAGAAGAAAAAGAAGAAGAAGAGAGCTATACGACCTGCAATTGCATATCCTTTTTATTTGTTTAGGTAGAATCATTTGTGGTTCACCAGACACTTCAACATTTTCTACTCCAATATTGAATTCGAACTGCACAACACCAAAAAGAACAACAACAGCAACAACCACAACAACAACCAGAACCAGAACCACAAGAAGAAGAAGAAGAAGAAGAAGAAGAAGAAGAAGAAGAAGAAGAAGAAGAAGAAGAAGGGCGGAGGCCATACCTTCGTCACTTACCTGGGCGCCATAGCCGTGATCCAGGCTGTCGACCTGCACAACAACAACGACAACAACAACAACCACAACAACAACCAGAACTACAACCACCTGGGCGCCATAGCCGTGCTCCACGCTGTCGACCTGCACAACACCAACAACAACAACAACAACAACAACCACAAGAAGAAAAAGAAAAAGAAGAAGGAGAAGAAGAAGCAGAAGAAGAAGAAGAAGAAGAAGAAGAAGAGGGGCGGAGGCCATACCTGTGTCACTTACCTGGGCGGCATAGCCGTCATCCAAGCTGTAGACCTGCACAACAACAACAACAACAGCAACAACCACAACAACAACCAGAACCACAACCACCTGGGCGCCATAGCCGTGCTCCACGCTGTTGACCTTCACAACACCAACAAGAACAACAACAGGAACAACCACAACAATCAGAACCAGAACCACAAGAGGAAGAAAAAGAAGAACCAGAACAAGAAAAAGAAGAAGAAGAAGAAGAAGAAGAAGAAGAAGAAGAAGAGGAAGAAAAAGAAGAAGAAGAAGAGGGGCGGAGGTCATAACTGCGTCACTTACCTGGGCGCCATAGCCCTGATCCACGCTGTCGACCTGTACAACAACAACGACAACAGCAACAACCACAACAACAACCAAAACAACAACCACCTGGGCGCCATAGCCGTGCTCCACGCTGTCGACCTGCACAACACCAACAAGAACAACAACAGCAACAACCACAAGAAGGAGAAGAAGAAAAAGAAGGAGAAGAAGAAAAAGAAGAAGAAGAAGAGGGGCGGAAGCCTTACCTTTGTCACTTACCTTGGCACCATAGCCGTGATCCACGCTGCCGACCTGCACAACAACAACAACAACAGCAACAACCACAACAACAACCAGAACCACAACGACCTAGGCGCCATAGCTGTGCTCCACGCTGTCGACCTGCACAACACCAACAAGAACAACAACAGCTACAAGAAGAAGAAACAGAGGAAGAAGAAGAAGAAGAAGAAGAAGAAGAAGGAAGAAGCAGGAAGAAGAAGAAAAAGGAGAAGGAGAAGGAGAAGAAGAAGAAAAAGAAGAAGAAGAAGAAGAGGACAGAAGAAGAAGGAGAAGAAGGAGAAGAAGAAGAAGAAGAAGAAGAAGAAGAAGAGGGGCGTAGGCCATACCTGCGTTACTTACCTGGGCGCCATAGCCATGATCCACGCTGTCGACCTGCACAACAACAACAACAACAGCAACAACGACAACAACAACCTGAACCACAACCACCTGGGCGCCATAGTCGTGCTCCACGCTGTTGACCTGCACAACACCAACATGAACAACAACAGCAACAACCACAAGAAGAAGAAGAAGAAGAAGAAGAAGAAGAAGAAGAAGAAGAAGAAGAAGAGGGGCGGAGGCCATACCTGCGTCACTTACCTGGGCACCATAGCCGTGATCCACGCTGCCGACCTGCAGAACAAGAACAACAACAGCAACAACCACAACAACAACCAGAACCACAACGACCTAGGCGCCATAGCCGGGCTCCACGCTGTTGACCTGCACAACACCAACAAGAACAACAATAGCAAGAAGAAGAAGAAGAAGAAGTAGAAGAAGGAGAAGGAAGAAAAAGGAAGAAGAAGAAGAAGGAGAAGGAGAAGGAGAAGAAGAAGAAGAAGAAGAAGAAGGAGAAGAAGAAGAAGAAGAAGAGGGGCGGAAGCCATACCTTCGTCACTTACCTGGGCGCCATAGCCGTGATCCACGCGCTCGACCTGCATAACAACAACAACAACAGCAACAAACACAACAACAACCAGAACCACAACCATATGGGCGACATAACCGTGCTCCATGCTGTCGACCTGCACAACACCAACAAGAACAACAACAGCTACAAGAAGAAGAAGAAGAAAAAGAAGAAGAAGAAGAAGAAGAAGAAGAAGAAGGAGAAGAAGAAGAAGAAGAAGAAGAAGAAGAAGAAGAAGAAAAAGAAGAAGAGGGGCGGAGGCCATACCTGCGTCACTTACCTGGGCGCTATAGCTATGATCCACGCTTTCGACCTGCACAAAAACAACAACAACAGGAACAACCACAACAAGAACCAGAACCACAACCACCTGGGCGCCATAGCCGTGCTCCATGCTATCGACCTGCACAACGCCAACAGGCACAACAACAACAATAACCACAAGAAGAAGAAGAAGAAAAAGAAGAAGAAGAAGAAGAATAGGGGCGGAGGCCATACCTGCGTCACTTACCTGGGCGCCATAGCCGTGATCCACGCTAACGACCAGTACAACAACAGCAACCTGAACCACAACCACCTAGACGCCATAGCCGTGCTCCAAACCGTCGGCCTGCACAGCACTAATAAGAACAACAACAACAACAAGACGAAGAAGAAGCAGAAGAAGAAGAAGAAGAAGAAAAAGAAGAAGAAGAAAAAGGAAGAAGAAGGAAGAAACAGGAGAAGGAGAAGAAGAAGAAGAACAAGAACAAGAAGAAGAAGAAGAAGAAGAAGAAGGAGGCTATATGACCTGCAATTGCATATCTGTTTTTTTTTTGTTTAGGCAGAATCATTTTTGGTTCACCAAACACTTCTGCATTTTCTACTCCAAAATTGAATTCATCTTCATAAAATCTTAAAAAACCACAAGTTGCCAATTTTAAGAGAATTCCCACTCAGATAACAGATCCAGCAGTGGGTGCTTCTACACAATTACAAGAAGAAGAAGAAGAAGAAGAAGAAGAACAAGAACAAGAAGAAGAAGGAGAAGAAAGAAGAAGGAAGAAGAAGAAGAAGAGGAAGGCAGAAGAAGAAGAAGAAGAAGAAGAAGAAGGAGGCTATACGACCTGCAATTGCATATCCTTTTTATTTGCTTAGGCAGAATCATTTTTGGTTCACCAAACACTTCTACATTTTCTACTCCAAAATTGAATTCATCTCCAAAAAATCTTAAAAAACCACAAGTTCCCAATTTTAAGAGAATTCCCGCTAAGATAACATGTCCAGCGGTGGGTGCTTCTACACAACCACAAGAAGAAGAAGAAGAAGAAGAAGAAGAAGAAGAATAAGAAGAACAATAAGAAGAAGAGGGGCGGAGGCCATACCTGCGTCACTTACCTGGGCACCATAGCCGTGATCGACGTTGTCGACCTGCACAACAACAACAACAACAGCAACAACAACAACAACAACAACAACAACCACCGCAACAACAACCAGAACCACAACCACCTGGGCGCCATAGCCGTGCTCCACGCTGTCGACCTGCACAACACCAACAAGAACAACAACAGCAACAACCACAACAAAACCCAGAACCAGAACCACAAGAAGAAGAAGAAGAAAGACAAGAAGAAGAAGAAGAAGCAGAAGCAGAAGAGGGGCGGAGGCCATACCTGCGTCACTTACTTGGGCGCCATAGCCGTGATTCACGTTGGCGACCTGCACAAGAACAACAACAACAGCAACAACCACAACAACAACCAGAAGAAGAAGAAGAAGAAGAAGAAGAAGAAGAAGAAGAAGAAGAAAGTTATATGACCTGCAATTGCATATCCTTTTTATTTGTTTAGGCAGAATCATTTTTGGTTCACCAAACACGTTTGACCTGCACAGCAACAACCACAATAACAACAAAAGCAACAACCACAAGAAGAAGAAGAAGAAGAAGAAGAAGAAGAAAGCTATATGACTTGCAATTGCATATTCATTTTATTTGTTGAGGCAGAATCATTTTTGGTTCACCAACCACTTCTACATTTTCTACCCTAAAATTGAATTCGACATGCACAACACCAACTAGAACAATAACATCAACAACCACAACAACAACCAGAAGCATTACCATAATAATAATAATAATAATAATAATAAGAAGAAGAAGAGGGGCGGAGGCCATACCGGCGTCACTTACCTGGGTGCCATAGCCGTGATCCACGCTGTCGACATGGACAACAACAACAACAACCAAGACCAAAACCACCTGGGCGCCATAGCCGTGCTCCACGCCGTCGAAGAAGAAGAAGAAGAAGAGGWGCGGAGGCCATACCTGCTTCACTTACCTGGGCGCCATAGCCGTGATCCACGCTGTCGACCTGCACAACAACGACAACAACAACAACAACCAGGACCACAACCACCTAGGCGCCATAGCCGTGCTCCACGCTGTCGACGTGCACAACAGTAACAAGAACAACAACAACAACAACCACAAGAAGAAGAAGAAGAAGAAGAAGAAGAAGAAGAAGAAAGTTGTATGACCTGCATATCCTTTTTATTTGTTTAGGCAGAATCATTTTTGGTTCACCAAACACTTCTACATTTTCTACTCCAAAATTGACTTGAACCTGCACAACACCAACAAGAACAACAACAGCAACAACCACCACAACAACCAGAACCAGAACCACAAGAAGAAGAAGAAGAAGAAGAAAGCTATATGACTTACAATTGCATATCCTTTTTATTTGTTTAGGCAAAATCATTTTTAGTTTACCAAACACTTCTATATTTTCATCTCCAAAATTGAATTCAACCTGCACAACACCAACAAGAACAACAACATTAACAACCACAACAACAACCAGAACCAGAACCACAAGAAGAAGAAGAAGAAGAAGAAGAAGAAGAAGAAGGGCGGAGGCCATACGTGCGTCACTTACCTGGGCACCATAGCCGTGATCCACGCTGTCAACCTGCACAACAACAACCAGGACCACAACCACCTGGCCGCCATAGCCGTGCTCCACTCTGTCGACGTGCACAGCACCAACAAGAACAACAACAACAAAAACCACAAGAAGAAGAAGAACAAGGAGAAGAAGAAGAAAGCAATTGCATATCCTTTTTATTTGTTTAGGCAGAATCATTTTTGGTTCACCAAACACTTTTGACCTGCACAGCAACAACCACAACAACAACCACGACCACAACCACCTGGGCGCCATAGCCGTGCTTCACACTATCGACGTGCACAACACCAACACTTCTGCATTTTCTACTCCAAAATTGAATTCGACCTGCACAACACCAACAAGAACAACAATAGCAACAACCACAACAACAACCAGAACAAAAACCACAAGAAGAGGAAGAAGAAGAAGAAGAAGAAGAACAAGAAGAACAAGAAGAAGAAGAAGAGGGGCGGAGGCCATACCTGCGTCACTTACCTGGGCGCCATAGCCGTGATCCACGCTGTCGACCACAACAACAACCAATACCACAACCACCTTCGTGCGATAGCCGTGCTCCACGCTGTCGACGTGCACAACACCAACAAGAACAACAACAGCAACAACCACAAGAAGAAGAAGAAGAAGAAGAAGAAGAAGAAAGTTATATGAACTCCAATTGCATATCCTTTTTATTTGTTTAGGAAGAATCATTTTTGGTTCACCCAACACTTTTGAC